TCCTCCTGTACACCCTGTAGCTGGGCTTCGTAATTATTGCACATGTCGCACGGCCGTCCTAGTTTCTCCCGAGCTTCCCGTAACTAAAATGATAAAAATATCATTTACGTTTCTGGACACATGGTTATCTTAGTTTTCTTGTTTTTTTCTTGTAACTACAATCGAAAGCAGAAATCCTCAAACATGTTATATGTCACACTGTCATTTTATTTACCCCTACCGATTTAACTTCAATGATGACAAAACAGAAATTGTGGAACATGTCACATGTCAAATGGGCATCTTGGCTTCTCTCTCAGCTACACAGGTGAAATAACCATCAACACATTTGTTGGGAATAACCAAGATGGACGTTACCTAAATCAAAAATTGACTTTCACCCTTGAAAAAGGCCAGAAGGCCGAAATATTTGGACTTACAGTGACATTTGTTCTATAACATTTGTTTATTTTTTTTCTAAATACCAGGTGTTGTAATAGTTAACGTTGTATTTCACCCTTTATTTCTCCCCAGACATTGATATTTGATATTTGATATCCTTCCCTTTAGGTGTGTATGACTCCTGGATCTTTAAATCGCAAGAGATCTAGAACAATACCTCTCATACAGATCTGTCATCCTGTAAATATTGGATCGGACGAATGTCTGACATCAAGGAACACAATTATTGGCCTTACATTGTCAATGTTGCAGGTGATAAAAATAATACTGTATACACAATGTGCCGTTATTGCCATAAAACAATACACTGTACATTCAAGTTTATAAGTTTTCTTCTTCAGCGGAAATGATGGCCATAATGCAGAAAAAAGGCACCTCTCACTCATGATCAACTCTTTTGAAAGAAGTACATGTGTTTTAAGAATTTGATTTTCTGCAACAAAGTATTGTGAAAATCATTCTGTTTGATATCTCCTCTACCCTCAAAATATAATTAAATTAAGATTCTCCCACAAAGAATCCCTGAAGGTTAGCAAACTTGATTTATAAAGGTTCTTCCATGATATTCTGTGTACCTACCTGTTGCTGTAACAGGTCCCATTCTTTCTGACTGACCAGTCTCCGACCATCGGTTAGTGATGACCGCTCGTTTTTATGTTTGGCACTGGCCAGAAGTGTTTGTCTTGCTTCAAAGTCGGGTGTCGGATCTGCAACAGTCAAACACGGTCAAAATATGATAATGAAAGGATCAAGGCCATCATGTTGAATTACTTCCCCTTACCATTCTGAATTACCTCCCCTGATCAGTGCTATGGTAATAGCTGAATAGTGTTAGTAATTTTACAAGGAAAACACGGATATGTTTTCCTTATACAGTGAATAATATTTCTTCTCAATTGTTACAGGAAAATATGATATTAAGCAAAACATGACATTATGTTGTGTTTTTCAGAAATTCCTTAGCTGTCAAAATCTGTATTCTTCTAATAAATGATACTTAAACTTAAACATCACAATGCTCTCAGCCAAAAGCTGAATTTTCTCATAATAAGTTTCTTTTTTTCCATCTTGTTTGATTCATGGTTAAAAAATTGAATTGAACATTGAAGGATATATTGCTTGCAGAAAAAATGTACAATCATCTCTCTGTCAATATATCGTTATAAGATTGATTTACCAGTAACCACATATGCACCCCAAAAAAATCATAACTGTCTTACCTTTGGCAAGAGCATCAGGTTAGGAATTTAAGAATATCACACGAGATTAATATTTCCCTGTTATACCCCCAAATATGGTAGGAATCTATAAGCTTCTTTTTCAATACCTGTAATAGCACGTTTTTGAGCTTCTGACAATGAGGGCAGGTTAAGAGTTTTTTCTGGACTGATCTGGACTCGTATTCCATCAAGCTCCGATCGATCAGCTTCAGCAACTTTGGCATCAAGGAAGCTGTCGCCTTCTTGGCTGACATCCACAAGGTCAGGATCAGACAAGGACTTTGCTGAACCTCCGGTGAAAAGAAGGTCACTGTCACCCGATCGTCTCCGAGAATGAGCCGTGTCGCTGTGAGGCTTCTGAAGTCTAGCACTAGCCTCAGCCTCCTTTGCTTTGAGCTTCTACACAACAACAAAATAAAGCAAAAATTTAAAAAAATAAAAATTGGGTAGCTTCTAAACAAAAATATTTTCAATTATTTTCATACTATTTACGGTAACATAAGTATCATGACTTTTGATTTAATTATCTTGCAGTCATTTAAAAGTGGACCAATATTTATGAAAAGTATTTGAAACTATTTGATAAGTATTATTGAAATATGAATAAATAATATTGGAGAGGTGGGTCTTGCTCTTTCAAACTGTTTCTTTAGACTCCCTTTTTCTGCATATGATGAGATATATAATCGACTCCCCCGCACTCCATCCTCAATACTCCAGGAACTACTCTCTTCTGTTCTCTGCACCCCAGCCCTGGAATATGTCATAGCAAAATTGAAGGCATGCTGTCAGCTAGCCTATTTGATTGGTCTCGGTTAAAAAAAACCTGACCAATCGCTAGGCCGATACCTGTCTTTTGAAGATTACTGAGGAGCAACAACTGACTTCAAAGCCAATCAACTTTATGGTAATACTGTTAGATGACTGCAAGATTCTTTTGATGTACATCAAAGAATCAAACTAGTCTTCTTATCTCATCCACAAGGTAGCGCACACCAAGCCTTAGATTCTGGCATGACATAGTTCAGGGGTCGGAGAGAGTAAGAGAGTATCGAGGATGCCATCACTCCTTCATTCATTCCATTTACTGAAATACCCTGTAAGAAATTGTTCAAGTTTCTAGTAAAATGTTACACCTAGGCTATATGGTGTAAGATACACCTAGGTGATATGGTGTTGGTTACACCTAGGCTATATGGTGTAAAATAAACCTAGGCTATATGGTGTAAGATAAATGTACACCTAGGCTGTATGGTGTAGATTACACCTAGTGTATATGTTGTAAGTTACACATAGGTTATATGGTACAAGTGAAACCTAGGCTATATGGTGTAAGATATACACCTTGCAAGGCTATATGGTGTAAGTTACACCTAGGTTATACGATGTAAGTTACACCTAGGCTATATGGTGTAAGTGACACCTAGGCTATATGGTGTAAGTGATGCCTAGGCTGTATGGTGTAAGTGACCCCTAGGCTATTTGGTGTAAGATACACCTAGGCTATATGGTGTAAGTGATGCCTAGGCTATATGGTGTAAGTGATGCCTAGGCTGTATGGTGTAAGTGACACCTAGGCTATATGGTGTAAGTGATGCCTAGGCTATATAGTGTAAACAACACACAAAGACAGATACTCTACTCACCTCTGTTGCCTCTTCAGCTTTTTTCATTGCCTCTGAAAAACAACAAAAGAAAAACTGTTCAAGAATTTGAAATTAACAATTTGATTTCTGCCTTCCATATTTTCTGGCTTTATATGATATGATTTTTTATTTCATATTTTGTAATCATACATATGTCAACTGAACTTATACTATGTACTGTAACACTGTCTATATATTTAGTCATACCATACATGCCATTACCTTCCAAACTTTTTATAGGGATTGAATGGATTTTTTTTCATGTACATTGCGGCAATGAATAGCAGTAGCTGATCCACATATCCTGTGGAGCGCGTTAGCTGATTCAAAAGAATTAACTCGCAGCTGTTCGTGGAACTCAAGTCCCCTGGTCACAAAATGGATAGCCAGGTTGTACCATATGTTCTGTCGGAGGATGTAAGGGGAGAATACCCCCCTTGGAGGTAAGTGGATATTTGTGTTAAACGTAGGGGCGATATAATTTCCTTGTGTGCCGTTGGACGAGCCACCCCAGTCCTCGTACGCTCTTTTAACAGGCTGTCTAGTGTACGATTCGCTTTTTTGAAATTTACCCCGCGAACAATATCAATATTCCTACCTAATCATGGTTCAAATCTAAATGTAAAAAAAAAAAATCTTCTTTCACCGGTGGATTTAGAAAAAGAGACTCATTTGTGTGATGGTTTAAATGGTTAGATAATTGCTTTATATCAAAATTCGCAATTACTGATTCATTTTTCCAGGTTCTGTATAACAGAACGTATTACACGGATCGACAAATTCAACAATTTCCAAATATGATTTTTTAATCCATTTAATAAAAAAAGTTCCCCGGTGTATTAATATTAAGTGGAGTTTGTGTGTAAAATCAGCTGACCGTTACACGTGACTGGTTGTCATTCATGATGTTTTCATGATCTAGTGAATGCTGTTTTGAGTTGGTAGGTTCACGTAGAGAAGAAACAGTGAGAATGTAAATATAATCAAATGAACATGATATACCTGTAAATATTTATATTGAAAGTATATAGCTTCGGCTAGAAGAATTTGGCACTCAGTGTAGCCAATATCAAGTTATTAAAGCTTTAATTCATTTCTATCATATTTGGTACAACTTAATATTATTTACATAATCATATTAAGTTAAATGTCATGAAAGGACCTCAAGTGTTGAAATTTTTGAAATACGGTTGACATTTTAGCTGGTGAAGAAATCCTTTGTTTGCTGTAAACACTGTGATGATGTCATTGAGTGGTATAAAACGAGCCATGTCTCTTTTTCGTATAAAATATAAACTTTATTTTACAACAATTATGAAACAAGTTATTTCAATCACTCTTGTTGGCCCGGATGTTAGCGTGCGGACAGTCTAAATGTGGGAGGAAACCGAAGTACCCGGAGAAAACCCGCGTGGTCAGGCAGGTGACCCATACCTTTTCACGTCCGATCTTTTTTGTGTGAATACACTTAAGTGAAACAGTCCAAAGTGTGGAGTTGTCTCCCATGGTTACAGAAAATTTAGAACTACTGTACCTGTAATAATGATCTTTATTGTTTATCTACTCTAATGATACTGTATACACCCTGTAAATTACAGCATAAAGTATAACGCACGCTACCACCATTGGTACACGGTCAGAAAAATTGTTCGAATAGTACTTTAAAATTAAATTTCAGCATTTCTGCAGAATAGTTTTGTTTTCAGGAACATTTTAAGAGTACACGATGACTTCAAAGTAAACATATCATAAAACCAGTAAAAACGATGTATGTCGACGAAATTTTGGAGGATTTTAAAGAGGGTTATATAAGCATGTTTAAATGTTGATTTCTGGTCCTTATAACTGGATAATATAAAAGTGAATATATACAATTATAGTTCAGTATGGTGTTTATAAAAGCAATATATTTTGTTGTAATCGGCACATCAACTAGCAGAAATAAAAACAAATTCCATAGCCTGTGATATGGTGTACCAATTTGGGTACTAATTATGGCCGAAAAACGAACAAAATCTCACTTCGAGTGTAGCGTTCTATTTTCAAAAAGAAATTACTTAGATATACAACTTTTCCTGAAAATGAACCACCATAGTTAGTCTTTGTCAATAATCAAGAAATATTCCAGATACAAGGTATGAATTTTTAAAGATCACTAAAAAACTGTCAAAATTGTACCAATTGTGGTAGCTTGACGTTAATTACAGTAAAACTTAACTTTATTCTTCATTGTAGCAAAAAAGTAACTTTTTCTGACTCTTGGCAAAAAAATTGTATAAATATTTCATTACTTCAATTTGTTGAACCCACAGGTTTGTTTTAAGGGGGTTGGGTTGAATGGAATAGAGATGGGATAGGGATGGAAGGAACAATGATATGGGCAGAGTTACAAACTCGCCAACTTTTGAGGGGGATATGTACAATACCTCCCTCTGACAAAAACACTGCTACAATAAGTATAATTTCAGCATACTATACTGAAAGTATACTGTAATCATACTATACGGATCAAAGAAGTAAAGTCAATTTTAAAATACCATATAACACTGAATCTTTAACACAAGCACCTGTTTGTGAGATACAAAACTAGGCTTAAGATTACTTAAAATTGATATATATGGGGCAAGGAATTAATTCTAACAGTGTATATATAGACATAAGGTTAAGCGTTCTGTGTTTTTCTTTGATTAAGAAGCGGGTCAATCTGAAAATTTGATAACCTAACCTTGTCTAAACTGCTGTAATCATACTGTACGTATACAGTGAGTATACTGTATGTATAAGAGGGTTATACAGTATGTATACAGCAAGTATACTGTACATATACAGTGAGTATACTGTATGTATGCTGTACCTATCCTGTATGTATGCTGTACCTATACTGTATGTATACTGTACCTATACTGTATGTATGTTGTAACTATACTGTATGTATGTTGTACCTATACTGTATGTATGTTGTACCTATACTGTATGTATAGTGAGTATACTGTATGTATACTGTACCTATACTGTATGTATGTTGTACCTATACTGTATGTATGTTGTACAACATACATACAGTATAGGTACAACATACATACAGTACAGGTACAGCATACATACAGTATAGGTACAGCCTACATACAGTATAGGTACAACATACATACAGCATAGGTACAGCATACATACAGTATAGGTACAACATACATTCAGTAAAGGTACAACATACATACAGTATAGGTACAGCATACATACAGTATAGGTACTGCATACATACAGTATAGGTACAGCATGCATACATAAAGTATAGGTACAGCATACATACAGTATAGGTACAACATAAATACAGTATAGGTACAACATACATACAGTATAGGTACAGCATACATACAGTATGTATGTTGTACCTATACTGTATGTATGCTGTACCTATACTGTATGTATACAGCGAGTATACTGTACGTATACAGTGAGTATACTGTATGTATGCTGTACCTATACTGTATGTATGCTGTACCTATACTGTATGTATGCATGCTGTACCTATACTGTATGTATGCAGTACCTATACTGTATGTATGCTGTACCTATACTGTATGTATGCTGTACCTATACTTTACCTGATCGACGTCGCTCCTCCTGGTCTCGCTGCTGTTTGAGCCGGAGTTCTTCAAGACCTTTCACCTTTTTCTCCTGGGCCTCTCTTTCAAGGTCCTTTTGCTGTAATTCTGGGGGGAAAAAAAAATATTATTGATAAATTTATGATTGAAATGTAAATATTCCCTAATCTACCAGTACTTAATCATCATCTCTGATTTCTAGTTTGATCCATTTATACTATATGACCATATACTTCTCTGGTTTTTTTCTTATTTTGTGTTTTGATCATTCAATGTGTCCATCAGTACCGGTACCTTACAATATCCTCCATGTAATCAAGATCCTACAGCATGATTGAATCTGTAATTACACTAGAATAGCTTAAAATCTGCAATGCTGTCTGTTAATTACTATTAAATATGCTTCTTGATTTCATATTTGAAGTTTTGATAATTGCATTGTGTACATGTACAATGAATTTACTATACATTTTACAGCAACACACATAATGTTTTTGGCTGTAATTATGCTAGAATTGTGTTTCAAGTCTTTGCAATGTTATACATGTAGATCTGAATTTATATTTATCTATAATGCTATTACTTTATATAATTATATTATTGCTGTAGATTGTAGAGAAGGCATCCAGGGAGACTAGGTTTGTAACTTATTGAGCTACCTTCTATAAAGCATTATCATATTATTATCATTATCATTGGCACCACCATTTCCGGTCAGAAACATGGGTAGGAGACCTTAATGGCTAAATCTACCAGTTCTTTTCCTGTGTCTCCTTAATAAAGTAAAATAATGAGATCTTTTGTTGAATTAATACATACAGACTGCTGAAATCAGTCTTAGTGATGAAAGACAAACATATTCAGCACCATTCTGCCTACAATTCTAGTTATTAGGTATATTTGTTTCAATGAACTCAACTTCTTACAGTTAAAATATAATTCTCATTAGAGGTTAATTATAATATTTAATTTAGAAATTATATCATTATTTGTTATCAATTGCCAAACAGACGCCCAGTGTTTGATATCAATTAAATTCCTTTTTTTTTATTACTTATTTTCTGTAATTTCAGATTCCTACAGAACTTTTGTACTGTATTGTAAAGAACTAAAATATTCAAAATGATAACAAAATCTGTGTTGTTTATAATGCACAACTCATTTTTTTATTACTACTTATTTTCTGTAATTTCAGTTTCCTATCGTCTAAAAGGTCAAATGTTTTGTGTAGAGAATTAAAATAATTAAAATAATAACATGATCTGTGTTTTTTAATGCATAACTCAATTAGAAATCCTGCCGAACAGCTTATAGTCCTAAATGTAAGACCTAGCTTAACAGTACTGGAGTTAACTGTTATTGTTATGCCAGTAAATTTTGTAACAGCGACAGGAAAATGATTGCAATATGTACAGCAATGACAGGTATCCCAATGCGTTCATCCTGTATCACTATATACTGTGGTACCCTGTTTCGTGACACACCTTATCGGATGTGACAAAATAGTAATGTAAACAGCCTTATAACCCCGCCACAAAGTCAATGTGGGAAAGTCTAATTGTGCAAACAGCCTAATAATGACCCCCAGAGGGTTGTCAAATGGCTGTTCCAGCACAATCACATACCTGCGATCTGTCGCTGCTGCTCTGTGGAGAGAACACTCTCCATTCTGCGTAGATCCATCATCATCAGACGCTGGGACTCCAGGAACTGGTCATTAGCCATCTGCCATGTCTGTTTCAGTTCCTCATGAGCTTTCTTCTCCTCGTCCAGAATTGTACATACTAGAGATATACAGCACATAATGAATACAATAAACCAACACATACTGAATACGATACACAACACATACTGAATACGATAACCAACACATACTGAATACGATAACCAACACATTACTGAATACGATACACAACACATCCTTAATACCATTCACAGCACTTAATGAATGTGATACACAGCACATACTGAATACGATACACAGCACATACTGAATACAATACACAGCACATACTGAATATGATAACCAACACATACTGAATACGATACACAACACATACTGAATACGATACACAGCACATACTGAATACGACACACAGCACATACTGAATACGATACACAATTTATATTGAATACGACACACAGCACATACTGAATACGACACACAACACATACTGAATATGATACACAACATATTCTGAATACGATACACATCACATACTGAATACAATACACAGCACATACTGAATACAACACACAGCACATACTGATTACAATATACAGCACATACTGAAAACAATACCCAACACATACTGAATACAACACATAACATAATACTGAATATGATACACAACAAATACTGAATACAATACACAGCACATATGTACTTATTTTATATGAAAAATGATAAATTCTTATACAAACTTAATAATTATTAAATATTCAATATTAAATTGTCAATAAATGTACGTTCCTTCACTGATTATGGTGATTTGTGTATCAAAAGTAGCAATTTATATGTACTATATTTCATAATGTTTCCGATTGAGGAGCATATGTAAGCTTACCTTATGCTAAATATATTACCCTCAGAAACATAGTTTAATTATTTGAATTCAATTCTTTAGAATATTTTGCAACAATTTAAGTCACACAATGAAGACCTCCTGATACAAATGCAATCCAATCTGTCTACAAAATCTAAGTGGACAGGTTGTCTTTCCTTCATGGGGTAATATGATTAACCACAATATTGAGTATTCTTAACCCTTTCACCACTGTAGACCAAAATGGACTCATCCAGATGAATGTACGGTAGAGTTTACTAAAGTTGCATAGGGGTGAAAGGGGAAAGGTTTTATCTCAAGCTACTGTCACATGATCTTGTAAGAAAATTATCACAGTCTTTATAGATAGGTGGTATTTGTAGACAGGTGGTCATTCTAGACAGGTTTCACTGTAATCATTTATTAAGATATCATCCTTTTTATTCCTAAAGGGACCACAGAACCAAATCAAAAATAGATTGTGGGTTTTTCCCTTTTGGGCAGAAGATTTGATAGGAAGGTGAATGCCTGCTGGTTGGATATTTAGGTGGCAGAAGTTTCAAAAGTTTTATGTGTGGGTTGAGCAATATATATACTGTAGATGTGAAATGTATAAAAAAAAGTTAAAATTTCTCAAGTCTGTTTTTGTCTGGGGGAGTTTATTAAGTGTGTAATATGTTTTGGTCATTTTTTGTTGCCGAATTCAATACAAAATGGCGGCCCCCATATAAAAAAAAGTTCAAATAGGTAGAATTTTTAAACTTTCTTTTTACAGGTGTGTGAGATGACATTCTTCAAAATGAGGGCAGGTGACATGAACCAGTGTGGATAACCCCATTTAACCAGGACAGTGGTAAACGTTAACACTATCGTCTATGGAAAATCATTTGGTTCTGCGGTCCCTAAATGATAATTTCTGTTTCAATATATTAAGTTTGTACTCCACTCAAGGATATCAAAATATAAAATCACTAAATGTTCCAGATTATCATGTTAAAATGTTAAAAATGTCCTTTATAGATATCCAAGGCCATATGCAGTGAAAATCTTTCGAATTTGCTTAAAAAAACATCTTGATGTTGTAGTGTGTTCAGTCATGGTAAAAATGTACAAATACTTATCAAGGGGAGATAATTCTTACAAAATTCTTTTTTTTTTAAAAGAAGTACATGAATATTATTTCAACAAATTGAAACAGAAAAACAAATTAACCATACATTTTTATAATGGCTTTAATATTAATTAATATTTAGTCATAATGGGAAAGGTTAATCCTCATTCGAAAAAGAAACCCCTAAATTGAAATGGGGAAGGCGTAGGCCTAGGTTTTGTAGCATTGGAAATAGTGTCACTCTATACAACCAGCTGTGCAACAATATTTTGATAGAACCAATTGCTTTGCTGTCCCGTCTATACCTTTACCATACACTCACCATCTTCAAGTTCCAGACGCAGTTTGTCTGCGTCCTCAGATAAAACGTTTTTCTGTGTTGTCAAGACGGCCACAAACATCTCCAGATCTTTACGTGACGATTTCTCCGTCCTCAAGTAATGTAGAAGTTCCTTGATCTAAAACACCAGAATGTGTCTATCAATAGGTTTGGAATTAATCTATAGATAATGTGTTAGGTGGACTGGAATTAATCTATAGATAATGGGTAAGATGGACTGAAACAAACTGTGTGATTTTTCTTCTTTTTAGTTCGGTTGTTCTCCCTTGAAAAGAAAACTTCAGTGTAATTCATAATTATACTCAAATAGAATAAAATTAAGACAATGTTCAGGGGTATGACAAATTCAGGTCTCCCGAGTAGAAAAATTGATATAGGATTTTGCTCTGTATATTCGTTTTCTCCACATTTTTGACCAGTATTTTCTGCAAAACCTATCAAAACCGTGACGTAACTTTATATTCTCTAATTTGATCAATAAAAAAAAATTTAAGAAAAAAACCCTACTCTCTCCTCTGGGTCGCGGACTTGGTCCATGTCAGGGAGAGACTGTGTGTCCGGTGTCGTCTGTCTGTGACTTGGACTCATCCCTCCAACTGGTGAATGCTAACAACGGAAAGAAAAAACAGACTGCAGATTATCTATATTCCATTCATCTAAAATACCTAAGACATCTTGATAGCCAGGAAATAATATTTGTCTTAGTTTGACTTCCTAACAACTTCCTACTATACCACTCCAAAAAGTAGACAAAAAGAATTTAAATTTCCTCAACAGATTTCATTTAAAAAAAAAAATCCTTGAAATATTACTTTCACTGACATTTCGTTGTACTTCAAACATGAATTTGTTCAAATGATGTCACAATCTATCTCAGACTTACACACTAATTTGATAAAAGTATAAAAAAACCTATGGTAATTATTTTGTGAAAAGTACCAAGTGACCAGGAATTCAGATTCTGTACAAGTAACAAAACCTGGGTATATACGGTAACAAAAATATGTACTTACCTTGGGTAGTGACAATATGGTAGACTTTGTACCAAATAACATTATAGTAACAAAAATGTGTACCAAGTGACCTAGTGGTTAAGACTTTGTACCAAGTAACATTATAGTAACAAAAATATGTACCAAGTGATCTAGTGGTAAAGACTTTGTACCAAGTAACATTATAGTAACAAAAATATGTACCAAGTGACCTAGTGGTAAAGACTTTGTACCAAGTAACATTATAGTAACAAAAATATGTACCAAGTGACCTAGTGGTAAAGACTTTGTACCAAGTAACATTATAGTAACAAAAATATGTACCAAGTGACCTAGTGGTAAAGACTTTGTACCAAGTAACATTATAGTAACAAAAATATGTACCAAGTGACCTAGTGGTAAAGACTTTGTACCAAGTAACATTATAGTAACAAAAATATGTACCAAGTGACCTAGTGGTAAAGACTTTGTACCAAGTAACATTATAGTAACAAAAATATGTACCAAGTGACCTAGTGGTAAAGACTTTGTACCAAGTAACATTATAGTAACAAAAATATGTACCAAGTGACCTAGTGGTAAAGACTTTGTACCAAGTAACATTATAGTAACAAAAATATGTACCAAGTGACCTAGTGGTAAAGACTTTGTACCAAGTAACATTATAGTAACAAAAATATGTACCAAGTGACCTAGTGGTAAAGACTTTGTACCAAGTAACATTATAGTAACAAAAATATGTACCAAGTGACCTAGTGGTAAAGACTTTGTACCAAGTAACATTATAGTAACAAAAATATGTACCAAGTGACCTAGTGGTAAAGACTTTGTACCAAGTAACATTATAGTAACAAAAATATGTACCAAGTGACCTAGTGGTAAAGACTTTGTACCAAGTAACATTATAGTAACAAAAATATGTACCAAGTGACCTAGTGGTAAAGACTTTGTACCAAGTAACATTATAGTAACAAAAATATGTACCAAGTGACCTAGTGGTAAAGACTTTGTACCAAGTAACATTATAGTAACAAAAATATGTACCAAGTGACCTAGTGGTAAAGACTTTGTACCAAGTAACATTATAGTAACAAAAATATGTACCAAGTGACCTAGTGGTAAAGACTTTGTACCAAGTAACATTATAGTAACAAAAATATGTACCAAGTGACCTAGTGGTAAAGACTTTGTACCAAGTAACATTATAGTAACAAAAATATGTACCAAGTGACCTAGTGGTAAAGACTTTGTACCAAGTAACATTATAGTAACAAAAATATGTACCAAGTGACCTAGTGGTAAAGACTTTGTACCAAGTAACATTATAGTAACAAAAATATGTACCAAGTGACCTAGTGGTAAAGACTTTGTACCAAGTAACATTATAGTAACAAAAATATGTACCAAGTGACCTAGTGGTAAAGACTTTGTACCAAGTAACATTATAGTAACAAAAATATGTACCAAGTGACCTAGTGGTAAAGACTTTGTACCAAGTAACATTATAGTAACAAAAATATGTACCAAGTGACCTAGTGGTAAAGACTTTGTACCAAGTAACATTATAGTAACAAAAATATGTACCAAGTGACCTAGTGGTAAAGACTTTGTACCAAGTAACATTATAGTAACAAAAATATGTACCAAGTGACATGATACTGGTGTTAACACAAGTTGAATACAACTTATGAATATTAAAGCAGTATTGTTATAAGATGAAAACTTTAATTCATTTCTACATGGTATTCAAAAATAGAAGCTCAATGGGTGAATAATTTAATTACCTGAGACTGAAGATGTTGGATTTTTTCATCAGCCTGCTTCAATTTTGCCTTCAACACCTTAACTTCATCTTCGAGAGGCATGACAACAGACTTGAGGATTTCTGCATCAGCTTGAGCCTGATCAACATAGAATTGACATTGCAATATAACTCCGCCCGCAATCAAAAGATTTTCTGTTTGTTGTAGCCAAATCCAGGGCCAGGATTTAACATGTGCGTTGGTAGGTAGGTCAAAATATCTGACAAAGATTCTAATTCCAATCAACAAGATTTACACTTTCACAGGATATTGTACAATGTCAAGCCACAGAATCACAGAGATTTTGCAATTTAATTCCATATCGGTTACATTCTAATTCTTACTTAGAAGGTTTTAATTTCATCACGCTGCCTTTTCCGCATTGCAGCATCAGTGTTTTCCAAATTTGTGACGTCACCTCATTGTTGAGCCATTAAATGTGACGTCACGTGAAATGGGGTGTAAGATAGAAATTTCCTACACCCCTTTCTTACCCTGGACAGCTCTATCTTACCCTGGACAGCTCTATCTTACCCTGGACAGCTCTATCTTACCCTGGGCAGCTCTATCTTACCCTGGACAGCTCTATCTTACCCTGGACAGCTCTATCTTACCCTGGACAGCTCTATCTTACCCTGGACAGCTCTATCTTACCCTGGACAGCTCTATCTTACCCTGGACAGCTCTATCTTACCCTGGACAGCTCTATCTTACCCTGGACAGCTCTATCTTACCCTGGACAGCTCTATCTTACCCTGGACAGCTCTATCTTACCCTGGACAGCTCTATCTTACCCTGGACAGCTCTATCTTACCCTGGACAGCTCTATCTTACCCTGGACAGCTCTATCTTACCCTGGACAGCTCTATCTTACCCTGGACAGCTCTATCTTACCCTGGACAGCTCTATCTTACCCTGGACAGCTCTATCTTACCCTGGACAGCTCTATCTTACCCTGGACAGCTCTATCTTACCCTGGACAGCTCTATCTTACCCTGGACAGCTCTATCTTACCCTGGACAGCTCTATCTTACCCTGGACAGCTCTATCTTACCCTGGACAGCTCTATCTTACCCTGGACAGCTCTATCTTACCCTGGACAGCTCTATCTTACCCTGGACAGCTCTATCTTACCCTGGACAGCTCTATCTTACCCTGGACAGCTCTATCTTACCCTGGACAGCTCTATCTTACCCTGGACAGCTCTATCTTACCCTGGACAGCTCTATCTTACCCTGGACAGCTCTATCTTACCCTGGACAGCTCTATCTTACCCTGGACAGCTCTATCTTACCCTGGACAGCTCTATCTTACCCTGGACAGCTCTATCTTACCCTGGACAGCTCTATCTTACCCTGGACAGCTCTATCTTACCCTGGACAGCTCTATCTTACCCTGGACAGCTCTATCTTACCCTGGACAGCTCTATCTTACCCTGGACAGCTCTATCTTACCCTGGACAGCTCTATCTTACCCTGGACAGCTCTATCTTACCCTGGACAGCTCTATCTTACCCTGGACAGCTCTATCTTACCCTGGACAGCTCTATCTTACCCTGGACAGCTCTATCTTACCCTGGACAGCTCTATCTTACCCTGGACAGCTCTATCTTACCCTGGACAGCTCTATCTTACCCTGGACAGCTCTATCTTACCCTGGACAGCTCTATCTTACCCTGGACAGCTCTATCTTACCCTGGACAGCTCTATCTTACCCTGGACAGCTCTATCTTACACACACGGAAATGAAAATGTGGATACACCTTTCCAGGGTAAGAGAACAGGTTATCTCAGTCCAGGGCTAGGATTCTGTAACATAATCCCAACCGAGGTATAAAGTCTAGTACGAGGTATGACGTGAGATATATATCTCTGTTAGTGATGCCAGAAAACCCAATCTCTCCCAATTACAGGTGATGCATTTTAATAATCTTCCAATCACACTATATATAGCTATTCTATTATATTTAAAGTAATATGTTTATGGTAGTATGTGTTACTCCAATGACAATGTGTGATGAACTTGCGATTCCAGTTCTTCATAACTGTGAATGTTTGTAGTCAACAAACCACAAATATTGCAATCTTGTTCATATGATGATGAAAATTTTCCTCAGACCTGACGTAATACCAAGGTACTAGCTCTATATGCCAAGCTAGTGGAATTATAATTATAACATGCAATATTTAGCTAGCGCCCTATATAATTTGTAAAATTACTCTAAAGCACTTTACAAAGTACGGACAATAGTATTAGATATAATCGATAATCAAAAATGTCATACATTCACCATTATATATTAAGCAAGAAGATAATCATCTCAATATGCATATATAAATGAGTAAATACAGGTTGGTATGAACATGACGTCTGTGCAAAGAGCCTAAAATGCAGAAATGAAGAGGTGAGTCTTTATTATATATCCTCCTTGAATTTGACTTTCTAATAGCAGATGGTAAAGCTATTCCACAAAATGACTGAAACCCTCCCAAAGCACCGGTTTCCATAGGTCACGTCAGTCCGAGATTCGGGACATACAAAGATTCTATATGAATTATAATTCCCTCGATATGCTGATAATTCCCCAGCCTACCTTTTTCATGCTTTCCTCAAGACTCTCGTGTTCTGACTGAGTGGTGGACGATGAGTGTTGGCCAACACTGACAAGCTTCAACTGTTTAGCCACTGTGCTCAGAAATCCTTCCCCACTGCAACGAGAGAGATTATATAAGTTCAAGGTAGGTATATAAAGCAAAATCTCAATAATATTATGCATTTCGTTTGACACCTTGATTACTTCCATACATGCTAAATGACCCGCATCTTGCTTTAATCTGGATCTTAATCAAAATTAACCGATCACTCGCGACAACCTTATGACCCGTGCGGGTCACACAAATCTCCCGCATTCCGTTAACAAAGTCTGACGACACAAGTTATAAATGCACAGGCGTTATTTAGTAGCTTCACTGCTGAGCACAAATATCTTTTGTGATGGCAGATAATTTTAAGAAAATCTGCGGGAAAAAGCTTCCAGATCGATTTCCGTTCAGTTATACAAATTAGAGTGTTCCCAGACATAAAGGCATATTTTTTTTATCATAATTTCATTTATTTGTATTTTTTCCTGTGTCCAACTTGGCAGTCAGATACCCAATGTTGTACATGAAGATGAGAGAGAGAAGTTGATGGAAAAGCTTCTAGATTAGTTCATGCTAAAACAGTATGCATCAATGATAAAAGATGCCAAGTTTGCAAAAAACAAACTCAAACTGCATACATGATAAGAAATGTAAGAGACCCACAGGACTGGCTAGCTACCAGCCCCAAAGTTTTTATGAAGAATTTCCATACTCCATTTAACTTCTAGCTTCTCTCCCACTAGAATCAGACCTACAAGTGATCAAACCTATTATAGAGTAGCTGAATTGAGTCATTTCGGTACATATATAACAACTATTGTACATACGTTTCCAGCGTAGCCGAAATCGACATCGATTTTATGGACAACTCATACACATTTTACACCTTTGTGTGCATACGCGCCATTGGTCATTTGTCTGATGAAGGTGACAGTGTACATATTGTACTAGTCATCGAAACGTCACATAGAAAAAATGTTGGGTTGTGTAAAAAGAACTTCTCATAATCCATACTTACCAACCTGAAGAAAATGTTTACAAATCTATTATAGTTAATTTTGTTTTTTTTAAATAAATTAAATAAATTAACATTCTAGAGTAGACCAGGGGACAAGTCTAAATAAAACCTCACCTATCCTGTCCACTACCGTATAGTTTATTTCTCAGATCTTGTAGCTCCTCTTCATAATTCTCATTCAATTCTTGGAGCTTCTCGCTCTCAGTCTCGTATTTTAGAGCAGTGTTTCTGGATGCCTCATTGGCGACTTCTGTGAAGTAGAAATAAAAGGCAAACCATTGGCTAGGTGTATTAAATAGATATTTTGTATCAAATTAAAATCAAAGCATAATGCTATCTCTGTCAAGTAGAAATTACATCATTGGCTGCATGTGTCCGTACAACAACAAAATTATCGCACCTCAGACCCGGGTATACCATGCGATACCCCTTGCTAGATTAATCCATCTCACTTTATCTGTCTGGCACCTTCCTGTGACAGGTCATGGAATTTTTACACAGCCATGTTTTCATCCAGGTGCTAATGCTGGAAATTGACAATCCACGTTATGAATATTCTATTCTGTCATGAAATACACTTTTTTTTTTTTTGTGAGGATGGACTCCACTGTTTATACGAGGGTGGCTTTAGTAGTGAAGAACCAATAATTTGTTTAGGTCCCAGATGGGATGCTTGTAAGCTATTGCAAAATTCAATAGTTTTTCAAACTAAAATGTGCAAGAAAAATAAAATCATTTACCTGTAACTGGGCGAGGTCAGGCCACCTCAGTCTGTGGCTAAGATTCTAAGGCTAAGATTCTGTAACATTCCAACTTCGGTTTATGCGTCCGTTGGAATAATGTTACAGAATAATATAGGCCTCAACTGCGATAACCTCATCCCGCTCAGTTACAGGTATCTTATCATTGACACTGACTTTTGCTTCGTAATCAAACGGTTCACTAATGCATCACAACTTTTGATTGCATGAAGCATTTCATGATTCAAACATTTTTCATTTTGATATTTACTATTTAATTTACTATTTTTCAAAGTTGTGAGACAGCATGCAATTTTCTTTAATAATTTCATACAGCATTGGTTTCACTAAAAACCAAATGGAGTGTGCTTTCATTCTATTGAACCTTAATCATTACCAATTCTTCTTTTGTATATAAAAAAAATCATCTTTATCCGACATTTTCAGCAGCTGTGTTAATTTTTTTGAATTTATTTTTTTAAAGTCTAATCTAAGTCACTTCCACGTGACATATCAGTAAACAGTAGCAATGGGAAGATATGATTTTAATTGGATTGAGTCAGTAAAGTGGCAAATATAGGTCACTGCGACCTTCATAGTGCATAACCCTAAAGATGTACTAGCATATAAAGTTTGATAACTGTGGGACATGTATTTTTGGGTGGTCAGGTGGTGCAGTGGATAGTACACTTGCCTTTCACCAAGGCCACAGGGGTTTGATTCCCCGATCGCATGTGAATAGGTATGGGGTCACCTGCCAGACCACGTAGGTTTTTCCAGGGTACTCCAGTTTCCTCCCACCTTAAGACCCTACTTGCGGTCGGGCCAACAAGAGTGATTAATATAAGTTGAAATAACTTGTTTCATAATTGTTGTAAAATAAATAAAGTTTATATATATACCTGTATTATCGGATAAATGGAGCTAAATTATAACTAAGAAATATACTGACAGGCGGATGGATGGACGTAAAAGACAAATAATCCCTTCTGCACTAATGTGACAGGGGGCTTGGTTTTGGTTTGTTTGTGTTTTACGTCCTATTAACAGCTATGGTCATTGAAGGACGTGCCAGTTTTTGGTGGTGGAGGAAAGCCGGAGTTCCCGGAGAAAAACCACCGACCAACAGCCAGTACCTGGTGACTGCCCCATGTAGGTCTCGAACCTGCGAACCCAGTGGTAGAGGGCTAGTGGTAGCAGAATGTCAAACGCCTTAACCACTTGTCCACCTGGGCCCCTTGCAGGGGGCATAAACATTGTATTATTTCAACTTACATCATAAATCTCTAAATTTAATATAACCATTTTTATCCCTGTTACAGAATCATTCAAAACTATGTTTTGATATGGTGTGCCTGCATTGATAATGAATATTAACACCCTCAGATGTAAACATTTCCAATATCTTAGTTAAAGCAGCATTAACACCAGACAGAAGACTGAATAATTTATAAATCCTAATACAGAATTCAAAATATCAATAGTTGGAACGTTTTCCCTTTTTTGTTTTGGCTCATTCTTGTCAATTTGGTTTAGGCTAACATTCAATATTTCAACCAAGACCAGTGTTAGAAATTTGAATTTACACACCATAGATGATAGGTTTATGTGATATGGATTTCTTGTAGACCTACTGAAATTTTGATAGACCGGAGCTTATCCAAGACATTTTGCTTGTATATATTTGTTGCTTGATTAACATTCAAACTAAGTAAGATATACACAATAAATAAAGAAAAATAGTTAACAGAACATTGTTTTCCACAACTGCTAGAGTCATCAATAGATTGTCAAAAGAAATAACTTCGTAGACAACTTGGTCTATGAAGTCAATGACTCCCAAAGACCTACTCGGATTTTCATGGTACAGTTATTCCGTCTTTGCGTATTGCAGAAATCTCTGCTCTTGTGAGCAGGTATTGATTGTTACGTCATTTGTTTGTGAGAGTAACGTCATCAATTTTCTCACACAAACCAATGACGTAACAAGCAATCCCTGCTCACAAGAGAAGATAACTCTGCAATACGCACAGACGGAATTGCCTATGGGTGTACCGTTAAGTTTGAACAATGAATAGGGCAGCTGTAGGATATGAACCTTTCATGAGGTGTTGGAGAGATGCCACCTCCTGTTGACACTGTTTATGAATGGATGCAATCTCATCTTGTTTGTTCGACTCGGAATACGCTACTGCAGTTTTGATACCCTCCAGTTCTCCCTTCACTTTTTCCAATTCCTCCTGCAGCGTTATAGCAATCTCCTGAGATTCTTGAACAGCCAGCTTCTCTTTCCGTAATTCCTCTAAACATTTGAAAACGCAACATGTATATATATATATTAATGCACACAGATTAACTGGATTAATATTGCGAATTCTATGTTTAGTATTTGATTATTTCCAGGATCAATCGGAGGCGATGTTCGTTGTCGAATGTGGTTCAGGGGTAAACATTTCACTGCTGATTAAAATGACATTTTCAGGATGACATGTTATAATTAACTATTCTCAAATCCTGTGAAAATTTTAACTCAAGCAATTTGTTTTTATGCACTTCCTTGCAAGAATTAAGAAAAAGTTCCAAAACTGGAGGCCATTTAACCCTTTCATCACTGTAGACCATTAATGGACTCATCCATATCAATGCATGTGATAGTCTATTAAAGTTTCACAGGGGTGAAAGGGTTAATTAGTGTGCCTTTGTGGGATAGTGTTATCAAAATTGTTACCAAACACATATTGCTGTCTATTTTGATGTAACAGAATGTAGGCACAGTCGTTGTGAATTTGGAATGTACATGAAGGTTCAAATCTTCGAGTCATTTACCTTCCTTCTGCAAATATATTTCCTTGAACTTTGCCCGTTTTTGTCCAAAATCTGCTTCAATGTTTTCCTTTTCTTGCTGTAACGTGGCTAGCTTTTCCTTCAATGATGGCAGAGATTCTGATTCTGAAAAATACAGATATAAACATTTTTGTTTTCTTGGTGAATAAAGCTTATACTTCACAAGTTAAGTGAATTTCTTTTATATTTTTCCATTCTGAAATAGAGCTGTTACTCATCAAGGAACCAAATATCTTCTGTTTATTACATGCATTTTATATACATTTAAGCAATAAATGTTTTAGCAAATGTTGTTATGGTCCTATAACAAACATTGCAATTGGTAGGGCTTTATGTAAATTTGTCAGCAATAGAAATGTTTGTTATAGGACCATAACAATATTTGTTAAAATATTCATTATTTATATTTACATGATTATGATAGAGTAGTTATGCTTTATTTAGTTATTTCAAACAGTTCTTTGAACAGAAATTAGGTCTTGACAACAATGAAATTGATGACCTTACCATAGAGATTGATGAAATCACAAGAGCAAATGTTGTTATAGTCTCATAACAACATTTTCCTTTTCAATGCATTGCAATGGAATGCAGTGCAAATGTAAATACATATAAATACAAAGGTGGACAAATTACTTTAAGGCAATTTTTTTGAGGTCAAAATTGAAATCACAAAAGGTCAACAAGAACAACAACGTGACAACAAAAGATTGATGTGATGCTGAAAATGGTGATGTACATGATAATATAAAAACAAACAAGAAGACGCTGTCGTGATCATCTATAACTTCGACTGCAGTGCAAAAGTCATTAAAAACATAAAGCGTAAAATATAGTTCAAAATCAGCATCTTTAATATGCATTCAGTAGAGCAACGTACCCTAGATACAAAATAATCAACATAGCACTTGGAGTAGACAAGATATAGATGAGAGTAATTCTTCTTAACCAGGTGCATGGATGGACACACGGATGGACCCCATTTCTATGTCCCTTATATAACCTTACCATATGGGTCAGAAAGATTGGATTGATTTTTTTAAAACACAGTATTGAAAAATGGCAAACACTGACTTTTCTTCAAAGTGGCTGCTACCTTCCCAAAGCACTTGTTTCCACAGGTGAACCTGATCAAGGTTCAAGACTTTGAAACTCATAACAAAGATTCTGATATATTAATGATGATGATAAAAATTATAGCCATATGTCACCTGGAACTGAGTAATCAAACAGAAACTTTCATTGACTGACTCGCAAGCTTAGTCCTCAATTTTTTTCAATTTGCATGAGATGATAATCTGACTATTAAGTATTTAGTCAGATTCCATTCATTATACAAGAAAGATGTCATACCAAGTTGTTGAAACAAAAGATTTAGTCTTTCTTTTTAAGTGATATGTTGACGGTAACGGGTTGTTTCGCCCCAAATCTAGTTCGCCCTAAGGGTTGTTTCGCCCCAAATCCCGTTCGCCCCAGGTTGTTTCGCCCTAAAAAAATATTTTTTCTTTAAGTCATAAATATCATGTTAAAAGTTAAAAAACTTATCTTTCTCTTGAATCAAGATATAATTACGTGCCGGAAGGTGAAGAACGAACCTGTATATTCATCACCGAATCCTACAACGGACATACTAATATCCGGAATATACTGTATATTATCGTTTTCATTTCTTTACCTTAATTAAGTAATGTTGTTCTTTATAAAATGCACCTGTATATATTTTAACGTTAAAAATATTTAAAACATAATATAAAAAATTAAAAAGCACCCTGTCACGTCAGCCATTTTATATAAAACAAATTTCTCTTAGTACATAGATACGTATACGAAATGGACATAGATTAGGTACAAATTGCGTATAAGAATGAAAAGAAATTAATACTTTAATTATATATATCTATAATATATAGATAAGATATGGACATATAATGAAACTAAATTAATTTCTCTAAGTACATAGATACGTATACGAAATGGACATAGATTAGTTACAAATTGCGTATATAGACTGAAACTACATACGTATATTAATTGCGTATAAGGATGAAAAAAAAAAAATTTCTCTAGAGAAGTATACGAAATGTAAATAATTCCCCAAGTACATAGATACGTATTTTAATTGTTAAGCAGATGTGTACATTTGAATTATGAAATAAACGTTGGCAATTTACTTAGGGAATTATCAAAATACATTAAATATACTTGTATAATAATGTACTTGTCAGTCTGGCAGGTTCTATGCTGCCAGGTTCTATGCTGCCAACAGTCACACACATCACTTCAGATACCATGCTGTCTGCGTCTAACCACGGAGTCGCACAAAATGCACAAATCATCCATAACGTAAATTACGTTATGGATGATTTGTGCATTTTGTAACTTGTCATAAATAGAGCATTTCTCAGTACTGTGTTATAATTCAACATTACTAATGTTGAATTATAACACAGTATTGAAAAATGCTCTATTTATGACAAGTTACCTACTCAAAATTATCTACTCAAATATGCATATTAATTTTTATTGGTCGGTACTATCACGGACTTAAATCTAATTCCGTGGTACTATCAAAACTTCTCAAAATGGACATAATCTCCAATTAGCAAAAAACAACACGGACGTGTGCAGAAATCAAGTAAAGAAAACATCGTCACACGGCGACGAGTATGCGTACAGCCGTACACTAAACTAATTTAAATGTGTAAACATAGAAATAATATTGTTGTATACCCCACAATTTTTAAAATTACACCATTTTTGTTTCATTTCACTATTCTTACTTAGTTCTAAAATTAAATTCAATATATGTTATAATGTGTGTCGGCGTTAAGAAAATAACGTAATCCGTTTTTTTGCTTTACAATGTACTTAAAACAACACAAACACATTTTTTTTTTAAATAAAACTGATTTTATTGATATGAAAGACTAAGAAGACTTAATTTGTGACTTAAAACAAATAAAAATGAAAAGAAAATACCAAACAATGTTTCGCCCTAGAAAAAATGTTTTAGGGCGAAACAACCTGGCGCGAAACAACCTAGGGCGAACGGGATTTGGGGCGAAACAACCTGGAACCTATGTTGACTAGGTTGATTTCCATCCATGATCCTTATAACAACAAACTACAGTGCATGTCCACTCCACAATATTGCATCAACATGCCACTGAAGATAAGCTTCCTGATTTGTGCCAAAGGATGATTAGTTAAAATGTGTTGAAAGTTATTCATGTGTCTGGAAGAAGGGAGGTACATGTATATGGTGTTTTTTTGATAAGAAATTATTATATTTAATTTCCCACATTATAATCAGAAAGTGGGCTAAAGAAAACATTGCAATGGTGAAATTCCACCATTTCACTCGGAATCCAGTAAATGTATAAAATATCATAAAAATCTTCTGTTTCAATGTCTCATCTGATTGGTTCTCATCAAGTGCACCGGGTCATTTCAACAACATAAATGTACACGACTTATCTGCTTTCATAGGTTCTATCTACATGTACATACACACAGTATAGCAAGATTTGGTGCTTCAGTATCTGTTCAAATGGTGATGTTAATGTATTGTCGTCTGTATAAATTTGATTATTTTTGACAAGCTGCGTTAATGGTTATTTGTTAAATTACTTTAGATCCACAAATTACAACCTGATCAGATGTCAAATTGAGGAAAGTGTGCACGTGCCAAAGAATCGATAATATCGATTTGTTATTGATTTGGATCTTCTGGTAACAGGCAACTTTGGTGCTTTAAAAAATAGTTGCACTTGGATCAATTGGATTTAACTATAACCAAAAAAGACATATGCAAACCATATTATACCAACTATGCGTTTCCAATATATGCATCGTTCGACGCGTTTTTATTCATCGGCATAATTTTGCCTGCATCAGGACATCCTCATGTTTACCTTTGGTCGTCTCGGCCGCTTCTAGCAGCCCGAGATCCTCACATTCAGCCATATTTGGAAATTAAATGGTCAAAGATGTTCTGGTAGATGAATAACTAATTCCATTGTATAGGGTGCCGATCGTGGTCGTCTGTCAAATCGTGATAACGTCATTCCAGTTGTCATTGATTTTAGATCGCCCCCTACTTCCCGTATTGGAACTCTTTTATGGGAGATAAGAAAGTCATGAAAAAGCGCCACAATTTTTAAAACGAAGTTAGATAACTCTTGCAATCGCAGTGCAGGTCCGTGGTTCTGGTTCTGGTCAGTAATCAGCAGCGTCCTATAGATTTATGATATCAAGCCGATTGTGGTGAACACAACACAAGCCTAAGTGATTGAACAAATAAGTCGTTTGCAAGATGTCTAAACATTTATTTTCAATTATACTTACACATGTATATATAGAATGAAATCGTTCATTTTAAGAAAAAAATTCTTAATATTCATTTCAATTGTACATACCCCATCCCGGGTTTCTGCTGCTGGTAGCCTACTCGAAAACACCCCGTTCAATCGTGTACAGTTAGATATAGGTGCATTAACGTAGATGAGATAAAGTTCGCGATATGTAATCATTTATCAGCCCAAAGGACGCTTGATCATGGCTGGTTAAAATGGAGGCGAAACGTCTTCCTTGTTCATTAGTGACCAGATGATTGGCTAATGATAGAAAGAAGAGATGAAAGAAAAAAAGACTTAATATTTAATGAAGAGAGCGAATTGATGATTGGAAGGCTGACGTTGAGGGGATCGATGTATTGTCTGATAATGATTAATACGGGTCACTCTAATGAGTGTTCAGGGAGGAATGAGAGTCTGGGGAGATTTCCGCGCGCCCAGGAATTCGTTAATCTTTTTTTTCTTTACTGTTTGCCTTTTGATTCATAACGTAGGTGTGTGCAAAATTTGAGGTCGATCGTAACAGTAAAAAGTATCGAAATATAAAATATTTTGATAAAAATATGCAAACTCTTGCACTACATGCATTGGAAGGGAAATAACTCGTACGGACCTACCTGTAAAACTCTAAGCCATTCCTATACAGAATGCGACGAGGACGCAGTTCTACAAAAGATCCTATTTTATTTATTGATTTTAGTCCGTTAAAAGTGTTATGAATTAATTCAATTATTCTATACAGTTATTTTTAATCAAAGCAATAAAATAAGTATTAACTTTTTTAATCAAATGCATTATATTAAACTGCAAAATTTGAGATATAGTTTTGAAGATACATAGTTGATAACCCTCCGTCCTGCAGTTGACATAAATTATGATATCACATTAAGCTGGGAAACAGGGCACAGTGGAGGAGACTCCAGACCTCCTGTAGTCTTATCAGTATGCACCAACTATTGACTGGATCAGTATCCAATGGGGTCCTAACCTTATCATGGTATTCCCCATAACTTGATTGTATGGGAATCTGACTACAGGCTGTAGATTCTATAACAGCCTCGTTATTTGACGTGTCGTCAGAAACTGAGGAAACAGTGGCTGCGAGACGCGTGAAACTGATAGCGTTTGAAGTGAATGATCTTGCGACAGAGCACAGGGGCTCATTACAAATGTCTGAAATGTTTATGTGTGCTGTGACTCATATCAGTAGGTCTGTAACATATGTGTCAGTAGGTCTATAAAACATGTGTATTTCAAACATTTGTAATGAACCCCTGTTGATCAGTGCAGTGTAACAGACGATATTTTTGATATAAAATTGCATGAGCGTTAAAATTGTTTCCATTGCCGGCATTAGTGATTTCAACCGATGTGCATTTTGTACGATATTGCAGACCTTGGTCTTGTTTTTCGTTGTAATAAAAGTGGTTTTTATTTTATTTTTTTATTTTGCATATAAATTTACAATGACATTGTCAAATCTCACAATGCCCAGCGATATTTCAGCAGCCACCATGTTTATTTGTATTGGATATTGTAGCTCCGGTCAGTGTTGTATTAAAGAATTGTGTCTCGTGATGCATGGTAATTAAAGTCCCATCAACGACACAGCTTTCAAAGAGGCTATATAGTGACAATGCCATGCAAATGTAAATATTGTAGTATAAACGTCTCTGGACTGATAAACTGGCACAATTTTCGTTGTTTTTTTTCCAAAATTTATAAACGTGTAATCGTTTCAATTAGTGTAACAGCTAATCTGAAATTTGCATAACCATGATTAATTAACTCCGCCTACATCTACTGTTGACGACGCCACACAATTGTGTCTCATCGGGAAAATTGGAATACAAGCTCCGCCCACATGTTTTGTTGTCGACGTCATGCAAACTTGTCACGGTCTATGGTTAGGTAATGAAATGTTAAGTTCAGTTAATAGGAACAATGGTCACTGAGTAACTGTCAATGGAGAGTTGAAATCTAAGAACATTTTGACCAAATGTTTCTAAAAAAAATATCATCGAGTCAGTATCGCAAATCACAAACTAGTAGTTGATTCACACGTTGAGGAAGTAGGGAAAGGTGGCGTCATCGAATACGTGATTTAAGTAATAGCTTTCTATTTTGTCAGGTTATCAGGTGATGACTCCAGTTAAGCACGTGTAAACTAAATCGATTACGAAGCCATCTGTGATAAATTTATTTGTGCTTGATAGAAGTTATCACGTAACAATGTAAACCTGACCAAAATTGAAAACTATTTCTTATATGGTATTTATACAGGTATCCTCTGGCGAAAAGTGGTTATTTGGTCATCAAAAGCAACACTCCACGTGCAAAGTACAAATGTGAATATACACGTGTGTTCTTTGAACACTGTTCAAATGTATGCTCACAAAGGATATCTTAAAATACCAAATACTTACAATACCGTGAAATAAATTCAGTTTTCATTGGACTTCAGACCTCAGATAAGCCCAAGCTAAGCCAAATATTTGAAATTTAACCGTTCAGGACTGTATTGTAATGGATTCCTCCCCCTAATTGAATAAGACGTTGATTTGTTAATAAAAAAAACCCACTTCTAGTCGTGTCGTGTCCGTGTTAAAACGACTTATCCGATTTTATTTAAACACTTATACAAGTTTACTATATTTGGTTAAGGCTATGACACCGCCGTTCTTGTGTCCACATGTATAATATTTACTTTCGTTGGGTCCAAAGTACTTGTTACTATATTAAGTAAAAATTTCGCTTATTATGCACAATTGGATCTTTCTAAATGTGATCAATTTTTACTTCTTATAGATCACAGGGACCTGATCATTTGTTACAGCTATATTTGGACCTGTCCGAAACGCAGAGCTCTTTCGGAAAGGTCGCAAAGGAGACGGAAGTCGCTAACATTGACAGCATGGTATCATTGATAAGGAAAAGATCGTGCATAAAGTTATTTCGGAGTTGCGTCCCCTCTGTCGATGTCGCAAAGCAGTTTTGTGTTCGTAACCGTACGTCGATGTATGGGGTGATAAAGATAAACATGGATGTATGTGGTGAATAATGTTAAACATAGATTATGGTGTGAATAATGTGAAACATAGATGTATGGGGTGAATACAGATGAACATAGATTATGGGCTGATAAAGGTAAACATAGATGTATGGGGTGATAAGGATAAACATGGATGTATGGGGTGAATAATATTAAACATAGGTGTATGGGGTGAATAAAGTTAAACATAGATGTATGTGGTGAATAAAGTTAAACATAGATGTATGGGGTGAATAAAGTTAAACATAGATGTATGGAGTGAACAAAGTTAAACTTAGATGTATGGGATGAATAAAGATTAGCATGGATTTATGTGGTGAATAATGTTAAACATGGATGTATGGGGTGAATAAAGTTAAACATCGATGTATGGGTTCATAAAGGTAAACACAGATGTATCGGGTGATAAAGATAAACATGGATGTATGGGGTGAATAATGTTAAACATGGATGTATGGGGTGATAAAGATAAACATTGATGTATGGGGTGAATAATGTTAAACATGGATGTATGGGGTGATAAAGGTTAACATAGATGTATGGGCTGAATAAAGTTAAACATGGATGTATGGGGTGAATACAGATAAACATGGATATATGGGGTGTATAAAGTTAAACATGGATGTATGGGGTGAATAATGTTAAACATAGATGTATGGGGTAAATAAAGTTAAACATGGATATATGGGTTGATAAAGGTAAACATAGATGTATGGGGTGATAAAGATAAATATGGATGTATGGGGTGATAAAGGTAAACATAGAAGTATTTGGTGATTAATGTTAAACATAGATGTATGAGGTGAATACAGATAAACATGGATGTATGGGGTGAAAAAAATTAAACATGGATGTATGGGGTGAATAA